TTCAAAACAAAGTGGATACGATTAATGCAAACTCCCCTTACTTCAAGCTTTTTACCAGAGATTTATCGAATTTCTCCAGGATTTCATATTCTTACACGGTATATCTTATTCAACAAGAGTAGACCGCGCAACTTGCTTTACAAGCCAAGATTTTAAATTATTCTGCGATTCTAACAATATTAAAATAATATTTTGTAAAGTAGGCGACCATCGTTCCAACGGATTAGTCGAAAAACTTGTACATACTGTAAAAATTAAACTGTTAGCCATATCACAAGAACATCAAAAATCTACACTTCAAATGCCGTTTCAAAAATTATCTGGAACCTACGATCATCTTATTAATCTAAAAATAAATGTTCTCCCTTCGAAATTTATTTTAATAGAAAACCAAATACTATTTGGAAACAAATAGCCTCCGGTAAACCATCCTTTGGAATTTCAGACAAAAGGAAATCAATACTATCGAAGAAAAGGGCGAATGATTGGAACATGGACGATAGATTCGAAGATGGTTACAAGGACGGTTTGATTTCGAAAAAGAATCAATCACCATCAGAGAAGGGTTATGACACAGACTATGCCACATCTTTGAAAACCCTCACTGATAGAGTACCTCTTCAAAGTCCCTTCAGAGGTAAAATCCCTCGGAAAACAAACGGAACCATCAACCGAGACCCTTTCTATAAGGAACATAACAAAAGAATTATAAATTCGTCTACTTCGACAGTAGAATTATCCGACGGAAAAATAATCCGAAAATCTGACATTGCGATTCCTAAATCAAACTCGACCAAGATTAGACCTTTTAAACGAAGTATTTCATTCCCTTATTTTCCTAACTCTAATGCTGAAGTAGGTCAGAAGCACGAGAGTTCAAGACGTAAATCTAAGCCCCGAAAGCCACAACCAAAAACTCGCAAACAGGTCGAACTAGGATCCTCAGACAACTTGACAAAGACACGTGTGTCGCGGTCCTCCTCTATATCAGCTCGGAGACAAACTCGTCGGTCGAAGAAGTCGACAACCCCCCCCCCCCCCCATAATCATCTTTCTTCGGATGAATCTATGTTTATTCCCTCGGATATATCAGAAACTAGCGACTGGGAATGGATAGCGGGAGGTTTTCCTTGTAGAGATGTGGCTAGAGAGCGCTTTATTTCGGACTCCTGCAAAACCCAAATTCAGAATGGAATCACCCTTAACTCTAGTTTACCCAAAAATAACATTAAAACTGAGATTTTAGAGGACAACACCATTCAAGCCAGAGACCAACTCGGGGACCAACCAGTGGAATGCCCAATAAGCATCATTCCAGCAGGTCCAAATCCTACATCACGCATCAGTTACAAGACAACTCATCTAATCCGGTGGACAAGGACACACTTACAGATTTCCCGGTTTATGAAATAGTCGACTCTGCAGACGATTCCACTCCGACTACCGTCCCTTCCAACAAATCTGGTAACGATCCTCCTATCATTTGACGCTCTAGTAGGAATGTAGGACCACCAGAATTTTACGGTAAAAGATACTTCATAGATGTTGTAGATTTACCTCAAGCGATCTCTGGCTCTGCATCTAATCCAATTGTAATAGAAATCGACGATATCAATCAACATGAAGTGAACAATAGCCGAACTCCGGCGGAACTGATGACAATTGACTCTGATTCCCCATCTCCAGATCAAATTTCTACCTCCTCAACCGATGAATCCCTGAGAATGGCGATTGATAACTTTGGAGACCAATCAGAACTCGATAGTGAACTATTTAACGCAGAACTCGAAAACTTTTTAGATTGTTACCGAAATTGTAAATGATAATTTACAATTTAATTTAATCTGAGTACTTTTTCAACCCTTATCTTGTTGCTATCTTCTTGTTATCTTGTTGCTATCTATATTAGATAACCAGTATTTTCACCTCTGCCCTTTTTTCAAAATCCTTCGCAGTGCAGTTAACCCAATTTCGTTCTGTCATACCTCCTAACTCACAAATTTATGCTAATAAACGTTCCTCAGACGTTCGGTTGCCAATTGATTCATTCTGGGAGCATATCCGTCGGATACCGGATAACTCTTTTTAAAATACTTTTGCATTACCTAGTGCCATTGTTAGTATGTAGTTTAGTTATTCAGCTGCTTTACATTGTTGGTGTAGTAAAAATTCTTTTTCTATTCCCCAAAAGGGGGAGAAAAGACTCAGTTAGTTTGTAATTACCTATTGGTGCTGGTTAAAACTTTTCCTGCTTAGAGGAATGTTGTGATTCGCATTTTATCTTGCATTTATTGCAAACTTTAATTAACTTAATTAGTTAACAGGTCACTTACATAGGACCTTCACTTGCCATTCTCTCCGGCGGAGAGAATGATCTCTTCACTTTTTTAATGTTTTAACTTTAGACTAATTCACTTTTATTCCTTTATTCTTTTTAATGTCTAAATTAGATTTAGCTACAACAAAGTAACATTTTATCACGTATCCAGCAGTAGCGACAGTCCAGAAGTCGTAGTTATCAATGAAGATTTGGAGGCCAGAACCACAGGAACGGTAAGCAAAGATGAACACGATGGTCTTAATTCCATCGAGATTCAGTTGGCAGATCTAACTGCCTTTTTAAACAACCAATGTGATTATGAGTGTGATAACAAGGGACTGTAAGGTGTTAAGAAAACGGATAGTTTACCGGAGCTATTCAGCCTGAAGTTAGTGGAGTCGAACTTCAAGGCGGACCCCCTGTTCGAGGCGGTTCTGGACATATTGGTGACCAAGCACCCCAGTTTTGCAGAAAAGGTCAGGGCCAAGGCGGTTATCTTAACAGTACGTTCACGACTTCTACGTGAAGGATGGATGCCTGCGGATGGATGAGAAGTGTGCCATTCCGAACCCGCTCCGAAGACCCATCATTAATCGCATTCATAGCTTCCATCATGGGGAGGCCAGAATGTTTGAAAAGGCAAGACTTGTATAATTCCCATGCATCTACGGAAGTCTAACTAGCATCGGAGGCCGAAGAGTGCCAAGAGTGCACAGCTGCCGGTAGAATATAAAACCATTAAGCCATAAAAATGATATGGGTACCGTTTACGATTCCATGGAGCCGAATGAAGGTTATCAAATTACCTTCTGGGGGCCCAGAAAGAAATCTCAACGAAACAGAAAAAAATGTAAAAGTAGCGGTAGACCAATTCTCTGGTTAGCACTCAGCAATGTTGTGTAAAAACAACAAATCTGGCAAAATGTTGAAGTTCAATTCAAAGTACATAACTGATCATGAGGTCCCTCGAAAAAATTATTTGGACCAAGGGGGTCCAGTTTCACCTCAAAAACGATTATAGAACTTTGCAATGCCGAGGGCAAAGAAATCGTTCAACCCACAGCAACCATTGGGCACCCGGATGCGTCAAACGTACTATTGGATGCATAAATAAAATTGCATTAACATACGCAAAAGAAGAAAAACATGGAAACATAGAAACTATGGTTGAGCGATGCTCTACGGTTTGCACCAAACGCTTCCCTAAAAATGTCGCCATTCGAGGCTCATCATGGCCGCGAAGACAACACCGTGTTACGCAGTTTAATCAAAAAACTGCTTACCTAAATTAGAATAAAAATTCACGGCAAAATTCTGCATGCTTAGAAAAAGAGTAGCCAAGGGCTCAGAAGATGCCGTACCCCGCTGACCAGCTGGAACTTACAGTCAGATGTGAAATAGAACCAGGAGACTTTGAAACTTCGACTTCGTGGTTACTCGTGATAGGGTGCCCTGCTAGGCCGCTTGTAGGGGGACTGTCGAAACTGCTAAGCGACCCAGCTAAGCTCCTATTCCAACGGATAAAACAGAAAAATAATAGGTATCAATCATTAAAACAAATAGTCGTTGAAGAATCAAAGCACACAATTACGTTACAAATTGTGTCTGTGAAAATACGTTACAAGAAAAGTGCGGTAGCAGAAAAACGGATGTCGGTGCCCAAAGGATAAGCGCAGTAGAAACTTGTCTAGCCCGCCTACAATGGCATAGCTACGGAAGAAGCTCGACGCAGGAAATAAAAGTCCGACGACCAAAAAAGCAATCACGGAGTGCGATGAAGTTTAAGCGAAAACCTGGTTTCCGAATCTGAATAGGAGCCAACATTATTTTAATGTGGTGTTAAAGCGCGGGCGAGAGCAATTGAAAGCGGTCAGAGAATGAGCGGAGCAAAGCCTTGCAACTACGACATAACGAGACCTACGGAAAAGAGGAGCAGCGCACCGTGGAGATGAGTTCAAAGAAGCCGAAGGAGCAAAAGGGTCAACGAAGACATTAAGGAGGACGTTGGAGAGAAGAAAAGAGCGGGCCATAGCAGCGTCTCGTATCGTATTCGAGCCAGGACTTGAATAGCCGTATCAAAGATGGGAGCGGTGATGATGGAGTCGATCACGAAAGACTAATGAGAAGGGGAGCCTGGAGATGATAGCAGGGGAAGGGACAGTGCGTAAAAACACGAAGAAGAAAAAAAGGGCGTAGACGAGCCTAACTGAACTTTTCAAAAAAAAATTTATTCCGGGCCAGGGAGAGGGCAGACGCTCACGGTCTAAAACTCAATTTAGTTAGTTCAAGTACTTTAATTTTTCATTTTTGCGATTCAAAATTTCTTCGAAAACGAATTTCATGCATTTACATTTAGTTCCTGAAGTCCGTCCTTGGTATTAACCTTCGTGTCACGATTGATACCTGGCAACAGCTATGTCTTGTTCCAGTGGTGCTAAATGATTTGTCGCTGAGTGTTTCATTTGAATACAGTTTGTTTACACTGACCGTAACATACGTTATTTAAACTAATGTATCTTACCCATTTTCCACCGCTGCTTCTTTTTTCCCTCAGATTCAGTCAAATCAGCTAGCTGTGCCGGAAATTCTTTTAAGTGTTTTAACGTAGATAATAAAAAATAAAATCCGTCTTTTTTTTAACTAGCCCTTAACTGTCAGTTCAAAATTGTTTCAATTTTAGGTATCTTTTCCTTCGGAAAACAGGACTCGACGCGCTAAAACTAGCTTACTGCCCTTTTGCGAAAAAGTTGCCAGAAACACAAGAGGCCCATGATCAAGAGGAAGAAAATACAACCGAGGTCTTGACCGAGCTTGTTGCGAAGAGACAGGTGTCAAATTTGATTGACAACATAGAGGCGGATGGCTTGATGACATCATCAGAGAAAAGTGTCAGATGGATGGTCATTTCAAGCGCATGGTGAGATGAAATTGGTGAAATTTGATGAAAAAAATCATAATAGTTTTTGGAACTTTTTTGAACGAATTGCAAGAATCAAGTTGCGGATAACAAAATTCAATTTGAACAAGGATAGCCGGTAGTTGTGCAAGTAGCACAGGATGTTTGGACCATAATCTTTAAAAAATACAAAAAACTACTTATTTCAAATCAGAGTCGTTTTCGTACTCGGTGCGATGAAAAGATCTAAACGAAAGCTTAGAATTTAGGAATACTCGATAGTAATATTAAAGTAGGCATATAGACAACAGTTTTCAAAATGTGACGAGACAAACACAGCAATTTTTCATTTTTTCTGCAAAAATTTCTTTGATTTTTAAAAAACTCTTCATTCCCAAAATGGCTCTAAAAATCTTCAGAAAGGATTTTCACTGGGTTTCAGGGCTTGAATGAAAGTTTCACCCGGCTTATCTGTAAATAATTAGCCTGCATGCTGTTTTTTTGCTCCGAAATTAGACTAAAAAGCCAAAATTTCTACTGATTTTTCTTGATACTTACAACTTTCATTACTTTTTTTGACATTTTTTAAAATGTTGTTCGAATTGCGATTGAAAGTGCTTTAATGTGGTATATCATTTTACTCATTCCAATAAATGTTTATTGTACCTGATTTTGCGTGAAAAAAACTACTAAAAGGCGCCCGAATACAAAGCTTCTCCCCATTTTCAATGGCCTGAACAATTAGCCATGAATTGTGATCATTGGTGCTTCCTTTAATCTAATCAGATCAGGGGGCGGTATATAGTGTTTGAATTATAACTGTTGCTGTTCTCGTGGGGTTAGCTTCTTCGGTAACCATACGTCGCACCACATATGATGCCAGAGCAAGCATAAGTTGCAAATATCTAGTTTTATGACCATTGCTACTTCATAAAATAACCAAATAAAACTGCGAACAAAAAATCCGTTGTAATAAATTTCCATGCATATGTTGCTTCAATTATATAAACTATACGCTTTTAACATAAAACGTCGGCATTTTTCTATGGCTTCTATGGAGCCATATATGGTTACACATTTTGATCAACCAGGGATGTTACCTGTTTGCTTGTCATTTTCCCCAGCACTCACTTTGTTACCTTCTTACCTTTCGTGTTTTTTTTTGTTACAGTCAATTGTTTACGGGAAGAGAGCTGCAGGGGCATCTTCTGGCTGAGAAGGCGGAACAGTTCCTCTCCGATATGAACAAATTTGTCCATGTGATCCCCTTTGCAACCCTGGCAGACACAAATCCATGGTTACACTACCTGTTCTGGCCCAAAATTAGGGAGCTCAAGTCTCTTTTTCAGAGTGAGTCGATTAGTTTAAGGGTTAAAGTTTTTCATATATCTCATGAAATAAAGTTAAAATCAAGGATTAAATGGATATAAGTTTACCTTCTGATTTTGATGATTTAAGCTCTAGTTTTTTTGCATCATTACTGAATTGACTAAGTTCCCTCCAACCACGCGTGTCCTGCCAAATCGGTCATCGAAAAATGGGCTGCTTTGTTGAAAAAAATACGGAGCTACTTTGTTGAAAAAAAGAGCAACTTTGTTGAAAAAAAGAGCAATTTTGTTACAAAAAGAGCAATTTTGCTGCAGCAGTCTTATGCTGCAGTCTAAACCAAAAAAAATAGCAGCGCCAGAATGATGTAACGAGGACAATTTCATGCACACACAGGTATATTGGCCCTACCCGCATCCAGTTTCAAGCGTTAATAATCGATTATTTTACGATTTTAGTACCAGTCTTACTAAAATTGAGAAACAATCGATTTTAATCATTTAATAATCGATTATTATCTCTCTTTTTATAATAATTAAATATAATCCATTATAATCAATTATAATCGATTATTTATTCGTCTATTTTTCGATACAATTATAATCGATTATAATTGATTATAATCCATTATTTTTATTCAAATTTCTAGTTCGTTAGTTTTGCACAAAAATCCATTATAATCGATTATAATTGATTATAATCCCTTTTGTTTCTCCATTTGGTTTTCGAAGTTGCATCTAAATTGCTTATATTTTATGCTTTTTGTAGACGGTGGTTTCTATGAAAAAAAAAAGAAATTTTTCAAAAATTTTTCCAATTAATTCAAATTTATAAGTTTTTTTACATTTCTTCCCCATAAGAGTTGTTTTGTGATGCATATTTTAAGCTTTTTTAAACACCAAAACATCAGCAAATTAATGTAGTTTCAAGTTTGATTCCGAAGATTCATGTTTTATTTACCGCGGGAACCTTTCCACTCATATGAAAGGATCTCTATGAAACTTTTGTTTCGAGGTAAAACTTTGTGTTCAGATGAACCAAAGTGTTCAAGAGATCTCTCTTTTAGAGATTTTTTTATTGACACAAAAATAATAAACCATACGATATAATTCGATTATAGTTTTGAATTGACAAAATTTCGGCAAAACAAGAGATTATAATCGATTATAATTGATTATAATTGATTATAATTAATTTTAAGGGTTTTTTTGCAAGAACTATAATCAATTTTAAACACCTAAATTTGGTAATTATAAACAATTATAATTGCCAAAAAATCATCATAATAATCCGTTATAATCGATTACTTACGCCTAAACTTGGATGCGGGAAATGCAAGTTTTTTAGCTGTTGAGCCAGGAAAAATTCCGACTAGAGACCTCTTCTGTGACTGAAGCAATCACTACACCGAAAGGGAAAACATCAAGACTACATTTCAAATGAAATTCAAAAGTTTTATTGGAATTGGATTTTGACCAAAAAGGTTATAGGGCTTTCATATGATACAACAGTTGACCCTCAACCCGGGTTTTCAAGGCCGACGGGAATTCAAGCCAAAGGTTTTACCGCGGTTTTTGAGGTTTTTTTGGATAAACCGTTCAAAAACCGCTCAAACCGCTCATTTTGAAGCAAGATTTTGAGCGTAATTGTCTAACAAAAACGCTCAAACCACTCAAATCTTGCTTCAAATTAGGTGAAAAATCTCGACTCGGGACTTCAAGCCGAAATTTAAACTTTACAAAGCACCTCAAAGTGCTTCATTTTCATCAGTAAAAATACTCTTTTCTAAATTATAGGCAAGCTTATTTCATATTAAGCGTTCTTCATGACAATGCCCCACTTAAGAGTGGCACCAGATTGTTGGATTCACCGGATTTTGAAATGCATAAATTATACTCATGAAAAACCCCTTCAACGATGTTTTTATTTTTAATATTCCTGAAAATCAATTAGAGGCCAACGAAGTTTTTATTTTTAATATTCCTAAAAATCAATTAGAGGCCCAAAAACTTTGAAAAAGCCAATAATTTTTAAAGAAAGCTCATGAAATTGAGAACTTCTTCAAAATTGTTTGCAAGTTATAATCATATTTCATGACTTTGTGACAAATTATTTTGCTCGAAGTCGCTATTTTTACGATTCGGCTTGAAGTCCCGTCGGCTTGATGTCTGGCGCCCCCTCAACACTATACACTCTACGCCCTAGTTTTTTCCCTTCGCTTCGTTATTTTGTCGTTATTAAACTTTTGCTTTAGGAATGTCCGATTTTGTTCTTGTCTTGGCGACTGAGTCTGAACCGAACTCGATCTTCGGGCAACTGGCGTCAAGGTCACTGGCGCACGATTTGCCCGACAACATATCCAGGCACTTTTCCATAGTCTTTTCAAATTGGGATCTATGAACCAGCACTCAGTAAAAAGAGAAAATAATAGATTATAATGGATTTTTATAATCAGTCTCAATAAAATTCAAAAAGACAATTGATTATAATTGATTAAAAATGTTATCATTAGAATAGACTATAAATCGTTTAAACATCTAAAATTTTCGCTTATAATTAATTATAATTTTGCTGAAAGTACGATTATAATTATAATATAATTGATTTTTTTCTCTTTTTACTGAGTGCGGGAAAACTAGTTGAACACTTGTACCAAAAAACTTGTACTGTATTAGATATAATTTTCAAGCACCCTTTCCAAATACCATGATAATGCAGTGTAAAGTGGAAAAGTGCTCAAAATCTAGGATGGAATTGCTTTCAATCGGAACTCAACTTTTCGGAGCTATGATACCCACGACTAGCAGCACAATAGAGTGGGTAATTCTATTTCTCACAAACCGACCGGATCTACAATCGAAAGTCAGAGAGGAGTTAACTAAACAAGCCGATATAAACTTGAAGTCTCGAAGCTCGAATGTGTATCTAAATGCGGTTGTTTACGAGACGCTTCGGTTCATTACAGTCACTCCGATAACTGTTCCTCACGCTCCTCTTGAGGATTTCAAAGAAGAAGGAGTCTTCATTCCGAAAGAAACTCCAGTTCTGGGTTAGTTAAATAATCCCCTAAGATTAATCCTACATACACTACCACGCACAAAAAAAAACAGCAAACTTTTGGATACAACGCCGTTCAATTCTACTAGAGCTAGATATCGAAATTCGCATATCAATTCAGAAATCATCTTCATAGTTGTTAAAAATTGTGTTTTTTCACAGCTACTGATGACTGTTTAACTTTCTTCAAATAAGTGATATTTTTCCTTTAAATTATTTCTAATTCATAAATTGTTTTGTCAGTGAATCTTTGGGCAGCGAACCACGACAAAAATGTGTGGAAATACCCTGAAGTTTTTGACACAAGGAACTTTCTCAAGACTGTAAAGGAAAACGACACAGAAACCGATCGCGTGATGTTAGACCACGAGGCAGTCGAGAACCTAATGTCGTTCGGAGTAGGAAAACGAAGATGTCTCGGTGAAAAATTAGCTCTGAGTTTGATTTACTTGATTCTGGCTGATATTCTCAAAAGTTTCTCGTTACATCCCATAAAACGCGATGGGCGGATAAGCGAGGAGCAGTTAATAAGGTTGGACGTGGTTCCAAATGATTTTGCAGCCTACCTCCGAAAAGAGAAAAAATAGACCTGTGAACAGAAAAAAAATTCTGTGAATCAACTGTCCTCATCTGGTGAAGCAAATAATATCAATAAGGTCATTTCAATGTGGAAAACCAGAACGTTACCATCTTCATTATAAATCTAATTACAAAAAAACTTAAGTAAATATGATTAAAACCGAATTCCCGTCGTAGTAGTTTTTTTTATGAGCTTTAAGCTCCTGTACCAAGTAAAATTATCCGATAATTACCGCTAGTTAATTTAAACATAATTGTGTATTGCAGAAACATCAAAAAAATAACTCAATTTTTTGCTCGAAATGAATAAATTATAATTTCAGATAAGGTTTTTCAAGTATGATTTTAGATCTCAAACTTTGTTTTTCAAGTTTATTTCAGATCTGAAATGTTCTATTTCAGATCCGAACTTCAGATCTGAAGTTTTTAAATTCAGATCAAGATCTGAAATAAAGAATTCAGAGCTGCGAACAAATTATGCAGGAAATAAAAAATTTCAGATCTTGCACAGAAAACTCCCTGGGTACGGGATAAGGTATTGTTCCAGTTCCCTACAAAACCAAATAAGCTCATTATTTTTCAGTAAAATGAGTCATTGAAAAATTAAAGTTAAAAGGGAAAGCCGGCCCCAAAAATTAATCTCCGACTTTCGAAGAGAGATATTAGGTATGCGCTCGGTTTATTTCTTCGTTCAACTACTTCTGATTTTCTAATTCGCAATTTTCGTATTCTTATTCGTATCTCATTTGAAAGGTATCCTAAAATGTATTTGAGCTGCGTTAAATTTTTGTTCGGGTTCGATAACTGCCAATTAGCCGATTTAAGACAAAAAAGTTGTTAACTTTTGTGATTGCTGAAATGAATTATCAAAACAAAAACCGAACAGAGCTTAAAACTCAAAGCCATTCAGCAAAGTTAAGTTGGCTCCAACATTTTTGATCAATTTTTGGTAACATTTTTTTCCTACAACTTGTTGATTAGCAATGCAACTTGGTTAATTAACAGCTGTTTCGAGGTTCACGTTGCGCAGGGCTGAAAAAATGTCGGTCGTGGTGTTATAGAAACTAATGATCAATCTTTAAGCGTTTTTTTTTGAACTTCAGTTTTTCGATATCAGCCGTATCTGGGGAATGGCAGTGATCTTTTCCAACCTCAACGGTGTCAGTTTTTGTTCGCACACGTCCAGTGCATTTGCTTTACGAAATCATGCTCCATGTTTAACAAAAACAAATCCTTCAACAATTTGAAAATGACATTTTTTAGTAGGTATCTTTTCAATATTGCGTGACTTGTGTTCCGATTAAGTGTTGTAAAGAGGTCGCTATAAAAAGTGTCAAAGTTTCGGTTTAAGACCGGATTATGCAAGGAGTTTATTATTGCTTGTGTTGACTTTTGTTTCGCGGAAATAGCCTTTAGTGAGTGGACGGTGCTGTGATCTAGGTGGTTCTAAGTACTCTGCAATACTCAACTGTCATCGTCTAAAAAAACATTATGTTTCGGCGAATTTTTTTTCTGATCAGTTTATACGACAATTTTCACTTGCTCAACTGTCATCAATCAAGGGGACACGTTTTGGACCGTTTTATGGATTCTGTCGGAATAGTTTTTGTAGCGAATTAACGCAACTTATAACGCAATTTTTTTTAAAACACTAAAAAAGATTTAAAATACCAGCAAAAAAGATAATCCACAATTTTTTCTAAAGTTCGGATCAAACATTAAACTTAAAAACGCTATGTTGTTTGATTTATATTAGTCAAAAACATCAAGTAAAAAGCGGCGCTGAAGTAAATAAGTCCAGAGGATAACGAAACCCATAGAATTCAGAAATTAAAGAAACTTTTTTCAACTTTGTTACAATCTTTTTTTAAGATAAAAAGCACTCATATTAGGCCAAACGCAGCACAAATTCTTCCAAAAACTGCGCTGTGCTTTTGATTTAAGGCTTGATTTTTGTGTACTTTAGAAAGAAAAACGTTGAAAACATGCCAAAACCTTTTTGCCTAACATGGAAATTTTTTGAAATTTTGTTAATTAGATTTTGAATTTCTCTCCAGTTGGGTTGAATATGATACTGAACTCATTTCTCTACATGCTTCATTTGAGAGAGTCAAAATCTGTCAAAAAGTCAGTAAAGGCCATAATTTTTCCAGTGAAACGTTCGGAACAATAGTCTTACCACAAATTTGGAAGGTCTGAAAAGCAGTCGCAAAATTCAAGATGTTGCCGCGATAAAAAAGGTGTATTTTATTTTTTCAACTCCTAATATTAAGAAAATGAAAACATGATGGTTCTGTTAAAATTTTGTTACAGGTATAGCCATTATAGTAATCATAAAAAACTCGTTTGCGAATCAGGCAAAATCAGTAAATTTTACTTTGAAAGTACAGTTTTCGATACGCAACTCAACTGGTTACTGTTAGCTCACAAAAAAGTTTGCAGGTGCAAAGTGACAGCAAGTTGGAAAGTCAGAGTTCAATTTTTTGGTTTTCAACTTTTTGAACCCGAAAATTTCAACATCGTGCAGTAAAAATTTCATTATCTGTGTGAAGAACTCGAAAAAGACGCTTTGTAATTGCGCATTTTGGTTGCTGGGATTTGTTCTATTTTTTATTAAAATGTTAGTCTCTAGTTTGGCAATTTTATGGAAAAGAACTTTTTTCGCTCACTTTTTTTTAGCTCTCTCATATTCAATCAATTTGTAATGCTCTTATCAGTGTGCAACTGAAAACATGCTGACATACTCCTTTTGATGTTATGAAAGTTTTTGAATCTATATTTTGAAGTTCGTGTCTTATAATTTTTATTAGTAAATTTAGGACTTCGTATTGTTTGTAGTTCGTGGATTGAAAAAAGCATAAATCGAGCATTTTTGTCTCATTGATCTTGATTCATTGAATTTTTTTTTCTCGTGGGTGTTCTCGTGAACTTTTCGTCGTTTGGACAGCGTATCCAAAATTTTTCTGAGGTTCACCCATAAATCAGTAATCTGAATTGATACTTTGGTTTTATGTAGCTTTTATACAATATTTTGAGTTGCTCAGCCGACAACATGTTTCTAGTTTTGTAGATAAATGAAATGATTTTTGCGCATTTTTTTAATAACGTTTCGGATATGTTCAGTGAAACTCAAATTGCAATCAATCTGATCTCCTATAAATCTAACATTTTTATCTGTTTTCAACACTTTATCTTAAAAATTTACGACTGGTTTGATGTTTTCTGAAAAAAATTTTGTTCTGGTTTTATCCCGTTTCATTGCAATTTTATTTGCTGCTATTCCTGTTTTTATTTTGTTCAAGTCCAGATCATAGCTCTATTCCACGACCTCGCAATTTATATTAGTCCCATCTGAACTACTTCTTTTTAAAAGAATTTTGTAGAGATCAATGATGTTAAGTTGAAAAATAAATGCACCTAAAACTGAACCTTGAGAAACCTCGCACTCTACTTTCTGATGAGTTAAGTTTTAAAAGATTTATCTGAACAAATTGGTAACGGTTTTCTAACAAAAGTTTTATTATCGAAAATATTTTTCATTCAATCTGTACGCTGCGAACTTTTGAAGCAGGATCTCGAGATTTACAGTATCAAACGTATTTGGTAAATCTATGAGCCTGGAAAAACTTTTTTTATTTGACAAGGAGTCTTCAAAAGGTTCAAGAAACTTCAGAATTGCATCAACTGTTGATATTTTTGGTAAATTTTTTTCTGGTATACTAATAATGAAAGTGTCAAAATGGAACAGATTGCGGATTATTTGAGTTTTTGAAGAAACTCGAGTCCGCAGCAGTTATATGTTATTTTAATTTGCAAATCAACATTGGTTCCAAATAAACCTTGTTCTGACGTTTTAGATTGACTGATTGACAAGTTTTATACATCGTTCGGACACTTTTAAAACTCTATTCTTTTCTGAGTGATTCACATAAGTTAGTTCCAAACTTAAAAAAATAATTGGATTTAAAGCGTCAGTTGTTTTATTGCTCAAAATTCATTGTACACCTCCTTCCTTATTCGTTTTTGTTTTCTTCGCGATTTTGTTTTCTTCTGCTTGTGTTGATTTTTGTTTCGCCGAAATAGCCTCTAGTGAGTGGACGGTGCTGTGATCTAGGTGGTTCTAAGTACTCTGCAATACTCAACTGTCATCGTCTAAAAAAACATTAAGTTTCGAATTTTTTTTCTGATCAATTTATACGACAATTTTCACTTGCTCAACTGTCATCAATCAAGGGGACACGTTTTTGGACCTTTTTATGGATTCTGTCGGAATAGTCTTTGTAGCGAATTAACGCAACTTATAACGCAACTTTTTTTAAAACACTCTAAAAAGATTTAAAATACCAGCAAAAAAGATAATCCATAATTTTTTCTAAAGTTCGGATCAAACATTAAACTTAAAAACGCTATGTTTTTTGATTTACATTAGTCAAAAACATCAAGTAAAAAGCAAAGAAGTGCTCTGCCACAAAGTTTGTGTAAAAAATTTCTTTACAGTCTGATTTTCAAAATGAGACGTTTTACTATATGAAGCAAGGATAGTTGGTTGCGGCGCTGAAGTAAATCAGTCCAGAGAATAACAAAACCCATAGAACTCAGAATTTAAAGAAACTTTTTTCAACTTTGTTACAATCGTTTTTTACGATAAAAAGCACTCATATTAGGCCAAACGCAGCACAAATTCTTCCAAAACTGCGCTGTGCTTTTGATTTAAGGCTTGATTTTTGTGTATTTTAGAAAAAAAAACGTTGAAAACATGCCAAAGCCTTTTTTTCAATCTCCTAATGCTAAAAAGATGAAAACAGGATGGTTCTTTTAAAATTTTGTTACAGGTATAACCATAATAGTAATCATAAAAAACTCGTTTACGAATCAGGCAAAATCAGTAGTTTTTTACTTGGAAAGTACAATTTTGGATACGCGACTCAGCTGGTTACTGTTAGCTCACAAAAAAGTTTGCAGGTGCAAAGTGACAGCAAGTTGGAAAGTCAGAGTTCAATTTTTTGGTTTTCAATTTTTTGAACCCCACAATTTCAACATCGTGCAGTAAAACTTTCACTATCTGTGTGAAGAACTCGAACAAGACGCTTTGTAATTGCGCATTTTGGTTGCTGTGATTTGTTCTATCTTTATTTAAATGTTAGTCTCTAGTTTGGCAAATTTATAGAAATGAAGTTTTTTCGCTCACTTTTTTGTAGCTCTCTCATTATCAGTCAATTTGTAATGTTCTTATCAGTGTGCAACTGAAAACATGCTGACATACTCCTTTTGATGTTATGAAACTTTTTGTATCT